GCACTGTCTGTGTCAGCCCAGCCCACCTCTCAGAGTTGCTGTGGGGAAAAATAGCAGAGATGGGGCATTATGTATGCTATCTTGAGTACCTGGAGGAAGGGCAGGGTATAAATCTAATAATAAATGAGGGATTTATTTAATTTATTTGTTTACAAAATTTGTATGCCTGCCCATCTAACATACAAACCCTGGGCAGCGGACAACACTCTGCAAATCTATATAGTAAAACCTCTATAAGACAAACAGAAACAAAATTAAAATAGTTATAGTATAATAAACCAAGAGAGCCAGTTTGGTGTGGTGGTTAAGGCATCAGGCTAGAAATTGGGAAACCATGAGTTCTAGTCCTGCCTTAGGCACAAAGCCAGCTGGGAGTCCTTGGGCCAGTCCGTCTCTCTCAGCCCTAGGAAGGAGGCAATGGCGAACCACTTTTGAAATCTTGCCAAGAAAACCACAGGGACTTGTCTAGACAGTTGCCAGGAGTCAACATTGACTCAAAGGCATAGCATAGCATAGCATAGCATAGCATAGCATAGCATAGCATAGCATAGCATAGCATAGCAATGGCGAACCACTTTTGAAATCTTGCCAAGAAAACCACAGGGACTTGTCTAGACAGATGCCAGGAGTCAACATTGACTCAAAGGCATAGCATAGCATAGCAATGGCGAACCACTTTTGAAATCTTGCCAAGAAAACCACAGGGACTTGTCTAGACAGATGCCAGGAGTCAACATTGACTCAAAGGCATAGCATAGCATAGCATAGCATAGCATAGCATAGCATAGCATAGCATAGCATAACATAACATAACCAAGGCATTGTATAAAAAGTCACCCAACCCAACCATACTTATATTGGGCTCATCTACCATCCTGACCCAACACCTAGACAAAGAGCCAGGTCCTCGGAGCCTTTCAGAAGCCCAAGAGGGGAACGGTCCTCTGAATCTCAGAGGGGAAGCAATTCCATGGGGCAGGTGCTGCAACACGAAGGCACAGCTCCTGGGTCCCATAAAATGATATTGTTTAATAGAGGGGACCCAGAGTACACCTCCCCATTGGATCTGATGGGACAGGCAGAGACCCTCAGAGATAGGTGGTCCCACAAGCAGCCTGACCCTGTGCTCTGCAGAGGTTTAAAGACAATAACTTTACTCAATAAACAGTGGTTCAACAAACTATGGTTGGACCAGTTGTGTGAACCCAGCCCGTTCTGCTCTCCGCTTCCTGCTCTCCTCTCTCCAGAAACAATAAGCTTTTTGTGAAATGTTTATTTGGATGGAAGAGGAGACGGTGTTCTCAGCATCCCCAACTGATACCATTTTGCTTGACCATTAAATGAGGATTCGAGCACAGAGTCCATTTTAAGTTGTAATTGTTTCTTCTTTTTAAAAAATGGAATCCAAATAGGATCATTAGGCAAAATGTCTCATGCACGAGGCCCAAGGGAGTTAGCAATGGGGTGTCCATTAACGTTGCCAGAATATATGTAGCTAAATCCCAACACACTGGTGTTAACTTAATAGAATGCTTTGTTCCTTATTCCCCTTAATGGCAGCTTTAATCTATACTGAAGCAATGCAATTAAAATGAATCTACCACTTCCTAAACTTTATGGCCACTGGACTTAGGCCATTTCTGCTCTCTCTGTAGCTGGTGATTCTCAGTCTTCATCTGGCACTGATAAAGCTGAGCGCTATCACGGATTTCACTGCAATTAGTCCTAGATTAACTCTTTGGCCCAAAGGGGCTGCATCCTTCAACCCATATCCCCAGGGGCCCAATAGCTAAGCCACCTTCCCAGCTTTCAATGCGGTTCATGCCCTGCGTGGTTAGCTACGGTTTATCGAATCAGTCCCAATAAGAGGTTTCTCTAGGAGGCTAACTCAGAAAACCCAGGCTACAAATGATTCACAGTGATTCACAGTTTTTTGACTATTGCAATGGTCGAATCAGTCCCAATAAGAGGTTTCTCTAGGAGG